CATTACCTAACTCTCAAACCAACTCACGAAGAGTCTAATTGGCAATACCTTGTTGGAATTTTTATTTCTAACATATATGGATTCTTTTCTCAATAATCTTGAAATTAAATATAGAAATTAACTTTAGTTATATCTCAAAGGTGAAAAAATTTAGTTCTAGTACTTAATTGTTTACCGAAGGACATAACAGGTTTATTAACTGATCACTTTCATCCACCACATAAACTAATCCATCTGGCCCACTGACCAGAATATTAAAATATATAAATCAAAACCGTGTGTAACCTGTCAGTGATCAGCCAAAGCTCATAATTGCATACCCTACTGTTGGCTTATCCACAAATCACAATGTACTGTCAAGAAAAGTATTCTTCCTAACCCTTATCTATGGAAATATTATATAAAGCTACAACAATTTACTGCTCTTAATTTTGATGTAAGTTGGGAGCATTATTTGTATAATATGTCCACTGTATGTTCAGTATCTTAATAGTACATCTTTAAAAAAGCATGACAGCTTTGAAGCAATAGTGTGAAATGAAAGCTTGAGCCGATGTCCATTGTAGAGCATTGAGTTAATTCTTGCTTCAGAATCTGTCAAAATGAGTGTCTTGATAATCCCCAGCATATATTTTAAGTCCATAAAACCTGTAAGATTTAATCAGGTGTCGAATTAAACCATCCTGAGACAGAAAGGTCGCCTGTGTAGCTTTACATAGCCATTGGTAAATTGACATAATGTATGTCACAATAGGTAGGAAAAGTCTATGTAATCATACTAAATTTTTAAAAAATTATTTTAAAAAATATGGCAAGCGATAAAATTATAGCTACAATTTTAAAAATTAAAGTCGATTAGGAACCATCGATTACACTCATTTTCATATTTTTGTGTTGAACAGAAGCCGTTAAAAATAATTTTGAATAATTGTACTAATTTACATATTTTATAAAACCGCCCTCAACCCCACCTTGAACTGAACTTAAGTGGCCAGGGAGAGGTAAACGATGCAAGTCATAACATTTGTTATCCATGATAAATACGGACAAGGTAATCAAAATAAACAAAATGGCGAACAAGGGAAGATTTTCAGTTCGATTCAAGCTTTAAAAATTCGTTTGTATCCCCTTTCATTACAGTTGGCTTATTTTTTTATGACTGTTATGCTCAGATTATTAAGATCTAACATTATTAACATTATTCTTATTAATTGTTAATCTACCTTTTTTTTTAAAGTGTTTTTAACGCAAGTTTCATAATTTTTGTTAGGCCTGCTCTTCTACGCCATGATTGATACTACTAAGATTCTAGATCTAGATCTAGATCTAGATCTCTAGATCTATCTATTCTATAGTATGCTACGGCTTTTTAATATGTTTAATAAATTATTAAATATAAAAATACTAGTCTAGAATAGAGAGTCTACTAGATCTAGTAAGTCTAGATCTATTATAATATTATTATTAGATAGATATTAGACGGTTTTTAACGCAAGTTTCATAATTTTTGTTAGGCCTGCTCTTCTACGCCATGATACTATTAGATTCTAGATCTAGATCTAGAGATCTAGATCTATCTATAGTATGCTACGGCTTTTTAATATGTTTAATAAATTATTAAATATAAAAATACTAGTCTAGACTAGAGAGTCTACTAGATCTAGATCTAGTAAGTCTAATATTATTATTAATAATAGGCCTAGATAATAGATAGATTATTAGTAGTTAGTTAGCTAAGCCTTAGCGTAAGGAACTTAAATATATTAAATAATACTAAATACTACTTAATACTATATTATAGGGGAGGCCCTAGGCCTAAGTATTAAATTTATTAAGTTGATCTAGACCTAGATCCAGACTAGATTGACTAGAAAGATTATCTGTTTAAAAAATATATCTAGATAGATCTATTTTTAGGCTATTCAATAAAATCAATAAGTATTTAGTATAAATATTCTATAGGCCTAATGATTGTACTAATAAATAGTAGAATCTAGAACTGTAATAGATAGTATCGTATCTAGAATCTAGTATCTGAATCTAAGTATAGTAGTGATACTAATTTAATTTACTAATAGTAGGCCCAATAGAAATAAAGTAGACCGTCTGACTAGTGTGGTGGATTTAGACTAGATCTAGATATAGTTTTAAGTTTTAGTATTGCTATACTAGCGTCTATCTTATACTCTATATTTCAGTTAATTATAATAATAGATAAATTAAATTAGGCCTATATTTTATATTATTACAAAGTGTCGCTGGTATAGATAGTTTTAGACTTGTCGTATAGTAATTAGTAGGGCAGTATATACATGTAGTCTAATTAATGATTAGTCTAATTAGTTAGAGCCTACTTGTTTAAATATATTTACTATTTAGTAGTATTAATAAAGTATAGTTACTCTATTCAAAGTATAGTTATTAGGTATAATACACAACCTCATAATCGCAAAATCATGACATTAGTGACTCAGTTATTTAGTAGGCCAATAAGTTCTATATTAATATAATTTTAATAGTTAATACTTCTTAAATTACTAGATTTGTACAAATGAATACATTTTATTTTAGATAATTTAGGCTATGATACTGCTGAATACTTCAGTTACATTAGTATTATGAATTAGGGCCTATTTAGAGGTAATTATTAAATTACTAATTAGACGTATGATAACTTATGTTGGTCTAATAACTAATAGATTCATATTTAATAGCAGTAGGTCTGTAGGTATAGAATAGTATTGTAAAAAAATAAAGTATGCTTAATTTTTTACAGTTGCCATATTAATTTTAGTTTTAGTAGGTAGTAGTAGGCCTGTGATAGCGCAGGTAGTTAGTATTAGTATGTAAGTTAAACACAGTTAACTACTATAACTAAGCTTAATAAGGCTACAATTTTAAACTAAAAATTACATGCAGCCTAAATAAAAGGTTACAGACTAGTGCATTAAATAATATCCAAAATTTAAGTTTAATCTACATTAGTTTAATAATTGTAAAAATTACTGAATAGAACAGTAGGCTTACTTGTGAAGAGCTGTCTTATTTTAGTTCTACTTAATTAATATATGACTTAGTCTACTCTTAGTCTCCTGTAGTTATCTTTTGAACTTATTAAAAAATGCAGAATAGTTAATTAAGCCAAAAGGTGTCAATTGTCATAGATGGATTAACTTACTATTCAAATCAATATAATTATACTTATTTATTCTAGTAGGTGTATGAATTGATGATAGTTTTAGTAGCCTAGTTTGAATATAAATTTTCAACTAATTCTTGAGGTGGCTAAACATAAGTAGTAGACCTTTATTGATACATTTTTAATTTTGTTTTTTTTTATGATATATACATGACTTTTGACACTTTTGAAGACCTATTGTATTTAATGACAAACTCCTTACATTAAAATATTAAAAGAAAATCTTAGATCTATATATTTAATGAATGGTAATAATTAGATAGCCCATACAATCCCATGCATAAATAGTCCCATCATTGCTTTATGATTTTTATAAGACAGACAAATATTTTTAATTATACCATAAAATGTTAAAGTATATAAATGTAATGAGTTTAATATAACAGTTTGTGAAATTTATTTATGTTTTTTTTTTTAGATACTACATACAGAGAAGATAAGTCAGATGAAGTTCCTTTTAAAAACTCTTATCACTGAATCCTCCAGTTCTGAAGACTTAATATACAGTATTCTTCAACAGTGGTCAGGCTTGACTGAAAATGGCCTACACATACCTATTAGATCCAACTAGTCCAAGGATACATGTTGGACCCAAGAAAACTTGTTCATATTGAACAACTTTTTTTTTAATATATTAGTTCTGAATGTAATTAAAAAAGAAATTTATAAAGTTTGTTATGTTTATTTTTTTCAGCACTGGTTGTGTGTGATGGTGTATGCGGAAACTAATTATTGTTACCTTAATTTAATAATTGACTTAAACTGGCGAACTATAAATAGTTTTTAAGAATATGGTGCTGAAGTAGATTTCACCTAGTTTTGTTGCCCTTCCATATTAATAAATTGTATGGTCAGGAAAATATCAAACAGCTTTTACTGTCCATAACCAGTCAGGTACCAGTTAACTGCTTTGAATTTGAATCAGAGACAACCTAAAGGATTAAAATTTAAACTCAAGAACTTTTGCTTTAGCAAATGTGTTCACAAATATGTAGTCCCACTATAAGTCTTTCATTTGAATATTATTTACATATAAGTTTATATCAATATATAATCTATCATTTGTTAATATTATTCCTAGTCCAAACAACATGCTGATATGAAACCCATTGTATTACAAGAAGAAAATAAGGAATGAAAATTTCCCATAAGACAGCTTGCTTATAATAATACAAATAATAATAAAAGGGCAATGTCTGCAAACAATTATACTTTAATATTTTATTTAGAATTTTCTACTTTGTATTATATCTCGTTCAAAACGAACAATTATTAAAATATCTTATGTTATGGTTTAAGCTTCAACTTTAGTATTTTGTAACTATTACTTAAATTTTCTACAATGTTAAAAATAAAACTACTATATCTATCATAGCTGTAAAACATGATAAGGGAAGAATCAAAAATATATGTTTTTGTCAATTCTAGCCATACCAGCATATAAATGTAGACCAAGCTTATAGAAATATGGCTGATAACTAACCATAAACCACAAATACAGCAAACTATAATAACTGCTTGTTTCCTGGTAATGTGTTGTTATTGGCTGTGCAAGTTTATAAACATTTTGTAATTGTTTATACATTACAAAAGAAAAAGACTGTAGCTGATCAGATGCATTCCAGATATTTGAGGAAAAGATGTTTTCTATAAGGATAGGCAGCTATAGCAAATGAGGTATGGGGAAATGTTGAGTTAAGATAAACTATTTAATAATTGTAATGACAGAGATACCATCACAGCAACAAATGTAATTGGGTTTGTATGACTAATTAATGAATATCCTATAAATAAATATAAAATGCTGAGGTGGTCGTCTATAAACGACTTTGAGGTGGTGGTGGAGATTTGGACCTTTGTGTCAAAGGGGAGGGGGTTCAGAAAGTAAGATGACACTTTTCCATGTTCAACAAACACTCATGTTAAGAAACTGAATTTAAGCCTTTATTGCATTATTAAAAGTTGGTTTATAAATTGTTGTAAATAATTCATCAATAGGCCTACATTGAATGCTGGAAAAGCCCATAGGTCTAAATATTTTATGAAAATCGCTGCTTTAAAAACAAACTAGGGGGGGGGGGGGGAATGTTGGCTTAGGTTTACTTCTTTGGGGAAGGGGGAGGTCTGGCATCGTTGTGACATCGTTAATAGATGACCCCATAGTCAGAGGTCGATCTAGATTGCTTAGGCCTATATTAAAATGTTGATATTAATTACGCTTTACTTATTATTACAATGGAATATAGCCTAGTAGTTTAATTATGTTAAATAATATAACATCCCCTTTCACCACAACACCCTGACTATACTAATCCAAATTAAAATAAAAATGTTTGGTAAATTACTATTATATTATTAGTAATTTTGTGTTTAAAATTCTAGCCTTAGTAAAAACCGGAAGTGATTTTTACTTATTTCACAAATGTTATAAAATATTCAATTTTGGTTCAAAAATATGCTTTCTGGCAACACAAAGTGGAACCACTTTTGGAACCACTTTTCCTACCTATATCCACTGTAGAGTTTACAAACACAATAGGTTTGAGTAAACATATACTTCATTGTACTGTCTCCTGTCCTCATCTCAGCCAGCTGAATTCCTGGTTCTTTCTCAGGAAGTAACAGCCCCAGCTGATAAGGGATACCCATTCACTCCTTTTTTCCTCTATAATTTCTCAGTTCTGTTGAAAAGAAAAAATGGTAGTTATGGATTCTATATCATATTTTCACATATATTAATTTCATCATAAATGTTAGGTGATTTATAATAAGTTAGCGCAAGTCAGTACTGTTTGCAACAAAAGAAAACTGAGTTTTTATTAGTCTTTTATGATCAGCTGATTTGTGTTTACATTCAAGACGGTAGACAGTACTGCTACCAATACTACTATTATTTAATAATTGTCATATACTATGAACTGAAACTAGGCTATTAACATAGTAAAATGATTGAAGTGTTCTTTTAACTACACATTTATATCTAATTAATATAATCAAATGGAAAAATTTATAAAAATCACCAAAGAAATTAGTAGGAAAAAACGATAAAAACCGTGCTACTTACGATGTGTAGAGAATGAGTTCAAAACTGCGTTCAAAACTTTATTTTCATTATCTCCAGTGTCTAGGACATCAGTAAGGTCTCAAACTTCTTAATTACTTGAATCTAAATCATTTTTACGCAGGTAATTAGAATCTAAATCCATTTTCCATGAGGTCTGACCGAGGATGAATGGAAAGTCGGCAATATGGCGGCGTCTCGAAAATATATAATAATTTCAAGATCAATAATATTTTTTGCAGATTATGATTAATTCATCACTTATTTTTATATAAAATACTATTGTGCTTGAAATAAAACATTTTTAAAATAATTTTTATGACCTCAAAGTCACATGACAAAAATGAGTCATAAACCAATCAATCGTCTGTTGAGCGACTTGGATGATTTTATTTTTTTTTAATTACCTCCGATAACCGGAAGTGGTAGTATACCATATTTCCGGTTTCAAAAATACCGACAACATAAATACCGTTTCATTAAAGTGAACGAAATTTTATCCACAGTCAAAAGTGTTTCTTCCAGACATCTTCTCCCCCCCCCCCCCCCATTCCGAAGAGAAAAGTCTGCAAGAAACACTGCTACTTTTTCTTACATTGTCACCTTTGGACTGTTTGTATTTATATCAATTTTTAAAAACCTAATAGTGTATACATGTGCTTAATTGATTACCTCATTTTTTCCACAGCCCACTATTCATGAATGGATTTGGGGATACATTTTGGGCCCCAGCAGTTGCCGTTTCTGTATCATGTAAGATGAGTGTTCAACGTTTTCCTTTCGATGCGCACTCTTGTTCTGTAAAGGTAATGTCGTGGTGGTTACTTTTTACTTTCTCGCATACTGAGTATAGAGGAAGTATTGCAACAGTACTAAATAATTATCAAATAATTTAACAGGTTTAACCGTTTTACACCTCACTACTTTATTAAATACGGAACATAAAGAGTGCATTGTAACCGTGCAAAACATCTAAATACAGACATTTTGACAAACTGAATTTTTGCATCCTTCTGAAAAGAAAAACTTGCTTTGCTATTTTATCTGTGTCTGTGTGTCTGTAAACACAATAAATTGAGTGCTGTTTCAGTTAGGTTGACTAAATTTCATCAATAAGTATTAGATTCTATATATTTGTGTCAACGTTAGAGTGCTTTCCAGTAACCGTAAGTGGTACATAATCTACTTTCGGTTTTTCAAAAGCTAATAACTAGAGCGCTGTTTAAGATAGGTTTTGACAATTTCATGCATATGTATTCAATTGTAAGTGCAAAATTCTACTAAGTTTTGAACGTTTTGAGGTAACTGGATATGAAATTTTACTCTATTTTCGTGTGAACAGCTTAACTAGAGTACTGCTTCAGTAAGGTGAAAGAAATTTCATGTATAAATATTGGATCTTTTAAATTATTTAAATATTTTGAGTGACCTCCAATAACTGTAAGTGGTAGTTTACTATATTTCCAGTTTCTAAAATATTGATGACGTAAGCACTGTTTCGCTTAGTTAACAAAATTTTATACGTAGGTATTAGATCTTATTTTGTTGATTCTGTTAAATTTTTAGTGATTTTAGGAGAACGGAAGTAGTACTTTACACTTTACTTTCCAATGTCTCAAACAATATTAATGCTACTGAACCGATTCATTGCAAACTTTTCAGGTAGATAAAAACTCAATGACAATATACTGTTACATAAAATTTACTTAATTAGATGTTTAATTAACATTTAAAAAATTAATCAATGTTTCGTTTATAAAAATACTAATATTTCTCTCAAATATGCACGCATTGTTCACGTTTATTTAGGTGCACAATTCTTTTTTCAACTACTTTATTTAAAAAACAAAACAATTAAGTATTAAATCAATTATTTATTTTAAAAAAATGCAAAACAAATGTAGGGATAGGTGAGATTTGGTTTTTTTATGGGTATTAGGAGGTAATTGATCTCGTTCGCCACCAATGCTAATCTTTACAATAATTTTGAAATGTACCAGGCAGAGAATACTCTGGAATGGGTTATTAAATATTTAAAACATCGAGCGCAATGTTATTAAATAAAAATGGCTATAAAAGCTGGATTGTTTGGTTTTTGTCGGAAAATATGTTTTTGGTTGCGTTAGTAATTTTCGTTATAAAACAAAATTTAAAAAAAGGATAAAAACAATTGGATCTTTCAGGTGGTAATGAAAACATAAAAATCATCCTGCTGTTCGATAGGCATGCACAAATTACTATGAAAAATCGATAAGATTAATATTAGCAATATCAAATGCGTAACTTTAAAATATATTGAATCGGAAGTATTTATATTTGATAAATAAAAATTGTTTGTTTACAGACACTTATTCTCATGGAAAACATCTTTTGTTCATTGCACCTTTCATATCAATCATTTTAAAATATTGAATTTCTAAATTTGTTTCATGTTAAGTTTTTTTTTTAACTTTACGGCCGCTTTATCGAACAAGTAAAAGCGATTGTTTAATGATGGAACCCATCTCGTCAAACTCGTTTACCTCCATTCCCAGTAACCATATTATGTAATCTGAATGCTTCTTAGGGAAAAGAAAAAAAAATATAACTCGATGTAACTACCTATATTAACAAGCTAAACTATTTCCAACCTAACACCTATTGAGCTAATTAAAACCAAAATTGATATGTTGCAGTTTGTGTCAATGTTGCACGATGCAGATGAGGTGGTATTTGAACCTGAGGAAGAAACAGTGAATACTGATCTCTTTGCTGAGAATGGGGAATTCGAGCTAACCAGCACAAGAATCAAGAAATACATTGATTTTAAGATGGATGGTTTAACTCTCAGCGGCTTCCAAGTAAATGCACTTTAGAGTAGACTTGGATAACAAGAACAAAAAAGGATTCCCACCCACTATTTATGTATCGTTATGTTTAGATGTTCGAGCCAATCAATTTCATGTAGTTGACATGTACTAAATCTTTTTCAGATTGACTTTAACTTTACTCGCAGACCAACGGTCACAGTAATGACGGTCATAGTACCAGTTGCATTTGTGTCATCTATATCAATTGCACACTTTGTTATCCCCGGATCGTATCTGGAAAAAATCGCTTTTGGTAAGTAATGTGTCAGTTGAATTTTTATTGTTTTTCATTCTTTTATTTAACTTGTTTCCTCTGTCTTTCTGTCGTCAAAGACCGAAACTGCCGAGTGAACCTATGAGCACCTATAACTTACCGATTCGTTTCACACTTGGCACGTGGGTCAAGACACGATAGCATTAAATTAGACTTTTTAAATGGATGACTAAATTATTTTGTATGAATTAATTAAATTTTCTAGATTTAGGTAGAGAACTTACTATCATTCCATACTATTATACGCATATGTTCATGTTCATTTGATGCGCAATAGTTTTTAGTAATGAAACTCAATTGTATAATAAACTAGCCGTCCCGGCCAGGCCCTGCACTGGCCTGTGAAAAACCTATCTGTAAAGGACCATGACTTGTTATCGTGCACAAAAATCATATAAAATTTTGACAGTTTTCACCGTTTTACTGCTCAGTCCTTCATCACATCTGGGGTATAGAGAACTTATTTTAATCGGCCAAAAATTATAAATCCGAACTTCTCAAAAATGTTACGTTTTATGCGTAATCGAGTCTGAAAAAACTGGGCTTTGCAATTCTGTCCGTGTGTGTCTGTGAACATGATAACTTGAGTACCGTTACAGCTAGGTTGATGAAATTTCATATACAAGTATTATATCAAATTTGCAGTTCTGTATCAACTTTTTAGAGATTTCCGATAACTGAAAGTAGAACATATTCTAATTTCAATTTTTCAAAAGCCTATAACTTGAGTACTGTTTCAGATAGATAGATAAAATTTCACATGTAAGTAACAAATCTAATTCTCCATCTTCTATCAAATTTTGAGTAATTTCCGTTGAACGGAAATAGTAATTGACGCTATTTCCGATTTCTCAAAAAAAGAATGTGAGTATATAAAGTACTAATAATATCCCGCACTATTATGCACATTTTGTTTGGCGTTTACTTGATGCGCAATTCTTTTTTTGTACGAGATTCTATTCTATTTTAAAAAGTTTAAGTACTTAAAAATGGATTAAAATATCATGTCTATATCCCGAGTTGCCATTCCCCCAGGGGCGAAACTACAGTGCTGCCAGACCCCCGCAATACGGGGGGACGGCTTTTTGGGGCCTAAAGCCGACTATAATCCATATTTTTTATTAAATAAAATAAATTTTCTTGCTTTTTTTAACTTGATGGTTGTTTTGTAAAAAGAAAACTGTAGGTGCGGTTGAATTATCTTTACACTATAGGCACCATTCCGAGTCCTCTTTCTCCTACGATCAAACACGCTGTTGTCGGCAAATTTCGTTTCAAAATAAATCAAAGTCCATCGCGTGCGAGGCCGCTAGATATATACTTTGCTTCTTTATAGCATTGATCATGGGCCCAAAATCAATTGTGATTTTTAGAATGTAAAATGTTCGTTTGTTGTATTGGTAGAACAACTATTCTATACTCTTTCGGTTTTATGTACGTTTACTTCTTTTTGTTTTACAAACAAATACAATAGTAAACGTGTATAATTTGAATTCTCTCCCTTGAGTGTTTCACAATAGGCTTTTGGAAAAGTAGTTGAGACCATCCTAACTTCGGTAAAATTTGGGAAGTTTTTGAGTACTCATAAGCCTGAGTTCCCCAGTAGCTATCTAAGCACCAGGGGTCCGCTTATTGTGTGTCCTGTATAGGGGGGATAGGTGTACTACTTGAATCATAATTCTCGCTGCATTAGGGACCTCCGCCGGTGGCCGTGTACCAAGAGCCCCGTGACGCCTCTGACACCAAGGCCGTCACCGATGGGCAGGGGTCGGCAACCTGCGGCTCGCGAGCCGCATGCGGCTCTTTTGATGTCAAGATGCGGCTCTTTGGCTCCATGCACACTTATGAAGAGCGTGTAAAAATAGTTGGAGGTCCAATAAAACATGCACGTTACGCGGTACAACTGGGCAGCTCTAAAAGAAATACCGCGAGTTGAGGCACTATTATGTGACGCATGGAATAGTCTTGCAGGATAGTACAGTAACGTGGAGAAGTTAACATCTGAAGTGCTGACGATCTTTAGGTCAATATATTCGTGCTAGCAAGAGTTGTCGTACAAGAATATAATAAAAAGTTAAGTAAGAAGCCAACTAACAAACAAAAAACCTAGAAGCTTGCTTAAAACTTAAAAAAAGAAGTTGTGAGCCAGATTTAAACAAACTTTCAAACGGCATGCAAGGTCAATGCTTACATTGATGTAACTAATGTAAATATGCAATGATTATAGATAGATTTTATGATTACTAATTTTCTAGCAGAGTTAGCTAAATACAATAATATGTTTTGTGCGAAACGTGTATTTTTTTTTTAAAACATGAATAAATATTATTTCATACTTAAAGCTATTTAAATACATATACATATACATATATATATATAAATATATATATATATATATATATATATATATATATATATATATATATATATATATATATATATATATTTATATATATATATATATATATATATATATATATATATATATACATATATATATATATATATATATATATATATATATATATATATATATATGCATGTATGTATATATACACCTAATCCTAAATATTGAAAAAAAAATGTTAGTGGCTCTTTAAAAACTGGTAAATTTTGTAAATTGAAACTTTTGGCTCTTCCGTCGCAAAAGGTTGCCGACCCCTGCCGATGGGTGTTTCTTTCACCATCAGCGTAAACCGAGGCGTGTTTGTGGTAGTGTGTACAAACTAGTGCCCCAACAACTGAGCCTTTTATAGTTCCACCACTGGCACCTTGAAAGTGGTTTTTGTTTTTAAAAAATCAGATCTACTATAGTAGTGATGTTCTACAGTATCTAACACGATGTTGCGTAAAAGAAAAAAAATATATACATGAGTTGTAGTGTGAAAGACAGGCCAACGTTCAAACCACTTCCGTGACTTAATTCCCTTTTTAAATAGTCAAATATGTGTGCTCTTAAGCACTTTTATAAGATTTGCATTAGAAAAAATAAGAACCTATTACTTCTCTTAATTATTTTTTTGTAAATACACAATAAAGAATGAAATATTAAAAAAAGGAAGTGTATTTGAAACTAATAATATAAATACAAAACAAAAACAACATAACGCGAGAAACCATTACACATACAAAGCTTTCATGCATCATATTCTTTGACCGACTTGCTTATAAGAAGCATTATGGTAGACATGTATTGTAATACGGATTTACAAAACAGACTAATAGCACTCACACAAATGACGTGTTGTTGTAACTGGGTTTAATTTTTTTTTTAAACTTAAGAATTTTTAAGGCCAAAAATGAGTATTATATGTTTATATGTTCGTAGTTTCGTGATCGTATTTTGTATATATATCTATATATATATATATATATATATATATATATATATATATATATATACATATATATATATATATATATATATATATATATGGGGCCCAAAAATGTCTTTGCGAATTGGCCCTTTTTTTACTACATCATAAACGCACTGCATAGTACGCCATTACAATACGAATCACTGGTTTAATCAAGTGACGTTTATCCAAATACTATAGAACAAGAATTAAAGTACTGCTTGTACTAGATCCGTCTAACTTGTCCAAATTTTCCACAGGCATGACTGTTCTTCTTGGTATTTTTGTTAATATACAAAATATAGCCAGTTTCCTCCCCAAGACAGAACCTTTGCCAATATTGACGTTGTTAATATTCAGCCTCATGTGCCTCACGACAGTGACTCTTCTTTATGCCATAGCCATTGCTTGCTTCAAGGATAGGGCCGAGGTGAGTACGTAGCTGCTGTTGGTCAGTACATTTATATTTCATCAAAACGCGAGTGAGAATATTAGTAGTCAGCAAAACAGGAGACAGCCATTGATCGTTAGAAGCATGAAATATCCGATGAATGCGTCAGGAAACAGGAGTCAGTCGATTGGTTGGTCAATTGAAGCTTGCGACAGGTGAAGGAGTCGGTAGAAGCATTCGTCAAAGAATGACAAGTCATTAGGATAGTATTACTGGACCTGAACATAACTCCCCTGAACTATAGGCCTACATTGTGAGAAACAGGTTCCAGAAAATAAATGTTTCGGACCAAGTGGTTTGCGAACTGATTGTTGTAAAATTGATGCTCTTTAGGATATTTCTGAAAATCAGCTAAAAGTAATCCATAAGTTATCTTTAAAGAAATAATATGCGAACTTTAAAATAATGTTTGTTTTTTACTCTCACATTTGTATTAATTTGGAGGGGAAAAACATTATTATAATTAGTACATTTTTGTCTTGCTTAATGTATTTTATGAAGTCTTTGCGTCTTTTATAATTTTATATATTTAATCAAACACATTTTTTCGACAAAGATATTTAGGTTTTTTTTTAATTATTTAATTCATATCTTTTTTCAGAAAGAGAAAGAAAAGCAAAAAATACAACATTGTGCGAAGTGCGAAGAGATGAAAGATTTAAAAGAAGGAAAAGGCGTTTCAGCAGAAAAAGCTGTGGTAGAAAAGGCCTCAGATGATAACATTGAAGAAGTCCCATGCTCTGACGACGCTACCAATGTTGTTAATATGCCAATGCAGAAAAGGCCATCGGTTGGCTGTGAACACTTTCTAAAAACATTTGAGCGAATTTTGAATGTGGTTATCACTATTGCATGGATTTCTGTTGTGATAGTTTTTCTTGTTCTTTTATGTAAATAGATGAAAAACTATGACCTTTTTGGAAAATAAGGCAATATTTAAAGTGTAAAGAGCTCTAGTTATTATTATTATTATTATAATATTACTGTTGTAAATTGTGTTTCTTATCAACGTTTCGTATATGCTTTCTAAAAGGTTTTTTAAAATGTATTAGTTGAATGTATTTGCAACTAACAACTGTTGCCTACAGTTTAAAATAAATGTAACGAGCGTGGCGGTATTTGTAAATAGAAATGAAAGCTTTATACTTAAAAAGGGTTGAATTGGGTAATACGTTCAAAGATTTTGGTTAAACAAAATTGTATACCCTTTACAATTGTTAAACAGAAAGGTATGTTATCTGTAGAAGTATAATTTATCTATTTTCGTGAACTCGACATGTGAATTATTAGAGCATTCATTACTGTTGTTCAGCCGCCTTTACTTTCCCTACACAAATTCAACTTCCCATTAGAATTGGTAGACTCAGGGTTTTATACTTTGGCCTAAGATCCGAATTCGAGACGATGAAGTTCGCAGTTGCTCGTTCTACCATACGACCACGCCACCCAACATAATTATTCTTATGCTTTAAAACATAGAGCTTGTTATTAAATTAAAAAACATTTGTACAAATACAGTTTTTTTTTTTTTTTAACAATTTTACATCTAAATCATGTTAAATACTTTTGCTTTGTTTGAAACATAAAAGAAAGTACTAGACAGAAAAACAAAATTTAAAAACAATTTCGTTTGTAATGGAGACCAGAAAAACATCCCTATTTTGAAGTTTTCTTCACTTTTAAGAACGCTAAGGCTTTTTTATTTATGCATTTAAAGCAATCAAATTTTGACTGCTTATATTTCAGTACATATTTAAACTTTGGTTACCACAACATTTTTATAGGGCTACTGGTCTGAATTCTACAAGGTCCGAATTATTGCAATATACTTGACTTTCTTTGGAAAACTCTATCCAAATCACGCGATCTTTAAAGAGTAAAGAGCACTAGTTATAATTATTGTATTATTATTGTAAATTTTATTTTTTATTAATCTTTTGTATATGCTTTGTAAAAGTTTTTATTTAATCCATCAGTTGAATGTTTTTTGGTGCAAGCTGTCCTTCTGTTAATGTCTCTTCATAGATATACTATATTACTGGTTTTAAGTGTTATATCTACAGAGATTTTTGGTTAACAATTTATTATACCCTTTAGAATTGTAAAACAGAAAAGCAAAGTTACCTATAGAAGAAAAATGTATCTATTTTTGTGAACTCGGTATGTGAATTATTAGAGTATTCGTTTCTGCCGAGCCGCCTTTACTTTCCCTAAACAAAATCAACTTCACATTAGAATTGGTAGACTCTGGGTTTTATAATTATTAATCTGGTCTTGGATCCGATTTCGAGACATAAGATTTTATTGTAATTAACAAACTCATTCAAATTGGTTTTTTTACGGTCGATAAGAGAGGTAATCAATCATTTTTACAAATTAATTAAATTAAATTTCTGTATTACAAATCTTGCTGATAGTTTCATGATATTATCATTAAATTTACCGTGCATAAACCCAGTACTCGCTTTAAAAATGACCCATAACGGAAATTTCTATTGTCAATATTTTTAAGAGAACATTTTCGACAGTAGATTTTAATAAGCGAATCTCATTGTCTGGTTGTAACATTTCATCCAGGAAATTTAGGTTCAACACTCCCAAAATATTCAAAATCTTGAATTATTTTCATTAAAAAGTTACAAGATTTATTGATTATTTATCAAAAGTCAAAAATGATTTAGTAAACTCAATTGATTTAGTGTTTTTGTTTTCTTTAGTAACCTCTTATAACCTATTTCCTGTATAATATTTTAAAATTTGATTTTATATACCATTTCTACTTTTATATTTGCACTTTACTTTTGTAAAGTTGTTTAAAGAATATTTTGAAAGTGGTTTTGAAGCATACTGTGATTTCAGTTTGTTATTAATTTTATCAAGACATTGAACACTTTAAATGCCACTGTATAAATTATTACAATTAATTAGCGGTTTTGAGTAAAATATTGTGTATTATACTTTTTTTTCAATTTTTGTTTTGCATGTCCTCCTTTTGTGACACGACAAACGGGTCAGGTCAAATGTCCGTTAGTTTACCACACCAGTATCAGTTTATTTTCAAGGAAATAAATATTGTGATATATTATCATGGGAGACAAAAATGTATATTCTTAATTGATAGTGGATGTTATAGAACCTACAAATGATAAGCTTGAAAAGAAAGACATATCTTCAGCGAAGACCTTGAGAAGAGACATCTCTAAGGTAGAAACTACCATTCCAGGTCTCACTTTTAATCTTGTGAAATGTTTGTTAAAAAAAGGGAGAACTGTGTGAAACATTGCTTAGAATTGGAAGAACTAACAATTCTGAAGAGCTTTGAATTCCAAGAGGGAAACCTTCTTATAAAACATTATACACGTGTGCATGTGATCTGAGATTGATCCTTAGCAGTAGCCCTGATCAAATATTTGACAGAAATCAGTTTCTTAAAACTATAAAGGAGATAGTGAGCTCGATAAACATTCTTTTGGATGCTGTGAACAGTGTTATTGCTAATATACCAGTATCTGAACCTGCTGTAAACAGATCTTAGTGTGATTTTTCCATTAGTTATCCTGGGGAATTGCGTATACCTGTAAAATACCATTCTCAATTAGAAAATGTGTTCTTATGCAAGCTGCTTAATCTGGCTGTTTATATGGTTGTGAATGTAAGCTCTTTGTGAGAAACCAGACCTATTCAGACCATTCCTATTCATAGCCTACAATTTAAAACTGAGATATGTTACTGTTGGTTTGTCTATTCCACATACATGAGCATGTCTCAGAGGTAATATCAGCTTCATTATTAATTTATTCAATTTTTTAATTAAAGTTTTGTATCATCTTTATAGTAATATTTTTTTAAATTCTTCTCTTAAAATAATATTAGATTATCTAGAGAAAAATTGTTCTCAAGTCTGTGTATGTATATAAATATATCCACACACACTTTTAAAACATTATAATTTAAATTGTTTATTTACTCCTTACTCAGTATCAATTTTAGATTATACAAAAACAGCAGAAGTTAAAAACCATTTTTCTTGTTATTGTTCAAAGATTTCCATAACATCTTGAGTTAATTATCCTGTGATCCTTTGTAATATAATGTCATGCATGTGTTATTTTTGTCATACAAAGTTACTATATCGTTTACGATACATTTTTATAAAATGTTTTGAAATTTTAATATACAGTGGCACAAATTACAATCAGCTTGTTCATACACAAAATCTCAACAAAATCAATTTATGATTTAAACCTGATAATTAAAATGTGTCAGTGTTTTGAACAAAAACTTTAAACGCACAAGCATTATGTGTAATATTTAATACATCAATATATATTCAAATAGGAGAAAAAAACAACATTTCCCAGTAACTGTAGTGTAAACAAGACTTCATCATATGGGTAAAATAAGTTACCAAACTAGTCTGGTACAGGACTTAATTTCGAATTCATAACACATAGTTGAAATACTCAAAGACATAATTCAACTCATAAATTAAATAATAATATCCCATGTAGTAAAAGCCTTCCTTATCATCAAGGGATGTTATTACCACCCTTGAGTAATTTTCTATGTTGTCTCCCCTAGTTGACCCATCTCAGTCACATCTAGGTCACAACACAACAACATTCCTGTCTTCCACAGGTATCATTGAAACTTCCGTCTTATTGTTATGCGGAATAAATAGTCTTTAACTTTTATTTCTTTAAATTATTCACTGTTAATTAAGAGTATAGAATAGGTTTAACATAATACAGTTTACATTCTTTTGATATAGTGCACAATTTATGTTTACTTATACAATTTATTTGATATCCATATATTACAGTTACAGACTGTATAATATTAAGAAACTGTCAATTGATAATGTATTATTATCACCAATATTTCATTATAAGTTTTGACTTATGTGCTGTAGGGTAAGATCAGTTTCTGTATTATCAACATTTTGACGAGACAAGAAATCTGCGAGTACATTATCCTTCCCTTTTATAGACTTTATTTCATATTGAAAGTCCAGCAAAATCAATGACCATCTGTTTATTTTGCTGTTGGCTATCCTTTGGTTGTTTAGAGCTATCAATGGCTTGTGATCTGTAAGAAGGACGAATTCCCTTCCTAATAAATATGTCTGTAGTTTGGTCATGGACCATACAATTGCGAGACATTCTTTTTCCACGGTAGAGTAGTGTTGTTCTGTTTTGTTCATAGACCTACTTAGATAAAAAATAGGCCTTAGTACTTTGTCCACTTCTTGCATTAAACATGCACCTAATCCATAATTTGAAGCATCAGTTACTAGTGTTAGTGTCTTATCAAAGTTAGGCGCAGTAAGCGTTACTTCCTGTTCAAAGTAATGCTTTATTAGCAGGAAAGCATCTTGACATTCTTTAGACCAACTTATTGTTCTACTGCTGTCCTTGGTAATTAGCTGTCTTAGAGGTAGAGTTATATCTGAGTACTTGGGTATGAATTTGCTGTAGACATTAAATAGACCCAATACACTTCTTTCTTGGTTTTAGGTATCTGTAAGTTGAGAATTATATTTTTATTTACGTCCAAATATTTAATGCAAGCTGGAAATCTGGGAAAATCCCAAATATTTGGAAAAAAGCAATCATGATACCTGTTCTAAAAATAGGAAAACCCAGGAACAAAGTCGATAGCTATCGCCCAATAAGTTGAACAAGCTGCGTTTGTAAACTGATGGAAAGAGTAGTAAACAACAGACTGACCTGGTTTCTAGAATCGAACAATCTACTAGCAGACGAACAGGCAGGCTTCAGGAAGTGCAGATCTACTGAAGACCAAATCACCTTCATTTCTCAGGAAATAGAAGATGGCTTTCAAGAAAAAAAACCAACCTCAATAGTGTGGGTCGACTTTGAAAAAGCCTTTGACAAGGTTTGGGAGCAAGGCTTAATTCTAAAGCTA